TCGGGCTTAATTAAAAAGAGTGTAAGGTCAGCCCGGCTCTAGAGAGGGCTTGCTTCTCGCAGGCCGTTAGCGCTCCGTGAGGGATGAGGGATACCCCCGGGCGGCCGAGGGGACGCCACACGCGGCCGGTACCGATCAGGGGTAGCGCGGCTCTGAAACGCGCCCAGCGTGCTCCGGTGTCACAGAGCGGGAGGGTCGGGGACACCCGGGCCAGCGGAGCAGCAGCGAGGGCGCTGCAGAAGCACCACTGCTTTGCGGAGTTTGACTGTGACCAGCGGGTGGACGCTGGTGAATTGTGCTGTGCCTGAGCGACCGACAGAGGAACCAGCCCTGTGTAAACCGCGTTCAGGTGCCCAGGTCTGACAGACGCACCTCATGTACTGGAACATTAACCCTTGTGGTGGTGTATTTTGTGTCCCAGCCTCTCTCGGTCGGCACGGGCCAGTTCAGATTTTGGTGACAAGCCCTAGGGATGGGTCCCAGGTGACTCTGGAATGAGGACTCGCCAAGAGGCCGCTGGGGCCGCTGCTGGCCCGCGCAGAGCAGCCAAGGCTGTGCTGCAGCTGCACACGAGTGGCCCAGGCGTGGTGTCCGTCCCGCTGCAGCTGGCCTTTGCCGCTGGCAAACCGCGCTCTGCAGCTTTCCCAGCTCCCGTTCTGCCCTCCCAGCAGAGCACTGCAGCTGCCTGCTTGGCTCTGGCTGCAGTCAGCTCCTCAGATACAGTACTGGTGTCAGCCAGCAAGCAGCTCTCCCAACCAAAACTCTATTTATTCAGAAGAAAGACGTGAACAAAGCCCCCCTGGACACTCACAGCTCGCACTTTTCAGGCAGGCGCTCCTTTCCATGGGGAGACCCTCGCAGGCCAGACATGTTTTAGGCTTTTGGGTCAGCCTGCCTGACTGGGGATGGGGATTCAGAGGTCAAGGTAGATATTTTATGCTTGTAGAGGAGAGGGGGAGGGCCCTCCTGTGCTGCTGAAGGTCACTGCAGTACCACAGATTCCATGTGAGGACAACCTTGAATGCAGCATGACACTGTGGGCCCTCGGGACTCAATCACAGCCCTCCCCAGCCACAGCCTCACCCCACTGGCCCAGCTATGGCTTCGTGGGTTCCTCTGGGGCAGGAGGGTTGTACGACACCTGGGGGTGCCAGCTCACAGTGGGTGCAGGCAGGATGATGGGGGGGGAGTAGGGCCCTCGCTCCGGCCAGCACAGGTCCATGATGGGGTAGAGCTGGCCCTGAAACTCTGCCTGGAAGGTGTAGATGGGGATGAGCTCATCAGGGTTGTCAGCATTGTAGAAGGTGAGCTCGCCCTTCTCGTAGTGCAGGTAGATGCCAATGCGCTGGGGCCGGGCAGTCAGCGGCAGGGTGGCCCGTGGGGTGCTGAAGGCCTCGTAGACCTTCCCGTCCTTCAAGCCGATGAGCCACACGCCATTCTCAGGAGATTTGCTGAGCTTCCCCTTGCGGCTGACCGTCCCCTTGATAACGCCCACACGCCAGTGGTTCCTGGTGCCCACAATCACCTCCCAGTAGTGCTGGCCACAGGAGAAGCCCTTGCAGGTAAGGATGCAGTTGCTGGAGTCGAAACGCTTTGGGTTGCTGTCCCGCCGCTGGTACAGCCCACACTGCACCATCGTGTCACCCTTGAAGAGCTCCAGGAGGGGATGTGCTGTCACTGGGTCCAGCTTCAGTGTCTCTGGAGCTAGAAGGAAAGCAGGCAGGCTCCAAGCAGGAGTCTGGCGGACCCTGGCTCAGCCCGGCACAAGCTCACACAGCTCAACTTGAGCAGAGCAAGCATGAGGAGTGGCCAGCCTCTGCTCCAGGAGGTCTCCCGGGGTGAGGAGCACACAGGCAGAGAGCAAGACAGAGGCCAGAGCAGCACGGCGCTGGGCAGTCTGTCTGTCCTGCTTCCCTGGGACAGAATCACAGAATCAGTTTTCTGTTCAGGAGAGCTGTGTTTCTGTAAGGACTACAGCACTCGACTTCATGGGACCAAAGTGATCAGGCACTTTGGTTTAGTTTTTGGCCAGCCCTGGTATGTGATGATCAAGGTCATGAGTTAACCAGGTGCAGAGGCTGGGGGAAGCAAAAACCCAGGGCAACTGACCCCAAGGTGGCCAATGAAAATTATCCCATACCATAAACGTCACAGTCACTATAAGTGGGGGAGTTTGCTGGGGACAGCCCTCTTTCCTACACTGCTGCTGTCCCAGGAGTGTCTCGCCTGCCATCCTACCCTTGAGGTCTACTCCCCCACTGTATCATCTGAGTATAACTCTGTGTACTTTGCATTAATACTGTTATTAATATTTGGGGTTTATTATTATTATTTGATTAAATCTGTTTCTATTTCAACCCTTGGATCTCCTTTCCTTTTCCCTGCTTCCCTCACTGGGTGGGGAGGAGTCATTGGGTGAGGAGACAACTGCCCAAACCACAAGACTGTCCCAGATGCCGGTGACCCAAGGCACCCAGCACCCAGCCAGCAGGGCAGGGCTGTACCTGGCAGGACACGGCGGTGCAGGCGCTTCCACACAGTCATCTTGATGTCGTCTTGGTGGAAACATGGCTTGAAGGATACGGGGCTAAAGACGCCATCACCAGGGTGCAGACCGGCGAGCTCTGACCTGGAAAGACAGGTGCAGCTGTGACACAGGTGACAGGGACCACGTGTGGCCTCTTCTCACTTGGTTGCTGTGTATGATGGAGCCACTGGTGTCTTGCCAGCTGCTTTTGCCTTCTTCTGGGGCTAAGCGTGTGGCTCTGGCCGTGGCATGGCTGTCACAACAGCAGTGTCCATGTGAGGCTGCCTCAGCAATGCTGAGGTGCCCCCTGGGATCTCTAGCCCTGGAGGTGCTGCTGTACCCATTGATGCTGTTTGCTGCTGGGTCCCACCACTCACCTGAACTGGGAGGAGCTGTATTTCTGGAAAACACAAGAGAAAGAGAGTGTCAGTGGGGGGAGGCTGACAGAACGGCAACTCCTCTGAGCGGTCAGAGCCATGCCTTGGGCTGCAGAGGCTGGGGCTCTCCTCTCCTGGGAGAGCTCAGGGCATTGCCTGTCATGGAGGGCAGGTCTCTCCCATGGGGCAAAGCCCTGGCTGGACAGAGGGCACCCACATCTCACTTCTTGTGATGTCCCAGCTCTGCCTGGGGAGTGTTCCCACTGCCCAGGGCAGGGCTCAGGGCTAGGAGGGCTGGAGAGCCTGGGTGACTGTCACTGCCGTCACCAGCAAGTGCACTCACCCGGATGAAATCAATCTGACTTTCATTGCTGAGTGTCTCTAGAGAGCTCTGCATCTCCTTCAGCCTCTGCAGGGCATCTGATGTCTGCTTGACCTGGGACTCGATGGAGGTGATGAACTGGGCCGCCTTCCCCTCGATGCTCTCCAGGAAGGTGGCCTTCTCCTCGTCGATGTACCTGTGCAGCTCCTGGAACTCCTTACGGATCACCCACTTGAAGACATCCGCCTCGTTCTGCCAGGAGACAGCAGGCAGCTGTGCAGGACTCCTGTGCTCCACGCCCTTCACCCGCTTTTTGGGTTCAGAGATGCCACCAGCAATGTCAACGTGTCCCACCAAGCCACTCTCCACTGGTTTCCCAAATAAAGAGCAGCTCTGCACAGCAGGCTGGATCTTGTTTCATCTTGCTGTCCTCAGCAGCTCACTACCACAGCATCCCTGCCTTACACCTCTCCTCCCCCAGATTTTGGTTTTCTGACATCCCAAGCAGCTTTGTCAGAGCCTTGGAAGAGCTCTTGGCTCCCTCTGCTCCCAGGGAACAACCTGTGTCCTGAGCTACATGGGAGAAGAGTGCAGCTCCACTTTCACTTGGGTTAAGCCCTTCTGAGGAGCCCCTCTGGGAAGCTTTAGCCTTGGAAGAGATGCCAGGAGGTCCTTTGGAGATGTCTACTGCGTGGGAAATGGACAAGCAGCCAAACCAGGCATAAACTCAGTGTGAAACCCACAGCGTTGCTCTGACTGGGAAGCCTGCTCACAGTGGGGTCCTTTCCACCTGTTATCTCCCCATCTCCAAGGACATCTGCTCAAACCAGCTCTGAGTGGTGCTCCTGCCAGGACGCTCAGTGAGTGTTATGTCACCCCTTCCGAAAACAAGGCTCTGCCACCAGAGAGGGCTTTGTCACCCTTCCCCATAACAGAATCACACAGAATCACAGAGCGTTAGGGATTGGAAGGGACCTCAAAAGCTCATCCAGTCCAATCCCCCTGCCGGAGCAGGAGCACCCAGATGAGGTTACACAGGAAGGTGTCCAGGAGGGTTTTGAATGTCTGCAGAGAAGGAGACTCCACAACCTCTCTGGGCAGCCTGGTCCAGTGCTCTGTCACCCTCACTGAGAAGAAGTTTCTTCTCAAATTTCAGTGGAACCTCCTGTGTTCCTGTTTGTGCCCGTTACCCCTTGTCTTATCATTGTTTGTCACCGAGAAGAGCCTGGCTCCATCCTCGTGACACTCACCCTTTAAATATTTCTAAACATGAATGAGGTCTCCCCTCAGTCTCCTCTTCTGCAAACTAAAGAGACCCAGCTCCCTCAGCCGCTCCTCATAAGGGAGATGCTCCACTCCCAAACAGGTCAGTGTTTAATCCCTGAGTTTTGTGGAGAACACAAACCTCAGGGAACAGGGTGGAAGATAAACCCTGTCTGCTATCCCAGGGAAAGGGGAAGAGATGGAGAGGAGGAGGTGAGCTGGGCAGACCCAAGAGCAGAAGTTGCTCCAGGGGCTGTGTGTGACACAGAGGACTCGGGCCCACAGGCTCCCTTGGCACAGAGCACTCACTGTGATGCGGCTTTTGTTGTTAATGAGCTTGCTGAAGTGTTCATCCAGGTTCCTCTTGTACTGGTGGACATCAGTCAGCAGCACAGACAGCTCCTCCTGAAAAGACAGCACTTCTGTAGGAGGGACCTCTGTGGCAGCCTCCTCAATGACTGACAGTGCTTGTCAGCCCCCAGAAGCCATGTTCTCCTCAGCTTTCTTTAAGCTTCCTGGGGCCTGCACATCCTGCTGATCTTTACTTTCTTGATCTGGGGATTTGGGGTTGCCAGAGGCAGGAGAGCGCCCGGAGCATGGCCCCTGTCTGGATGCTGCTGACCGAGTACTTTTGCCAGCACCACCACTTCTCCGCTCCCATTGCCACCCCTCTGTGTCTCACACCCCGTGGCTGCTCTGCACTGGGTGAGTGGGTGGTGAGCAACCGCAAACCAGCACTGGGCTGGTGGTGCCCTCCTAGCGCCGGTGCCAGGAGCCTGGCTGGGGCAGGAGCGTTTCTGGTGCCTCCTGCTCTTATCTCCCTGCTGTCAGCAGTGGAGGGGACAAGTGGCCCCTGTGCTTTTCCATTCCTGAGGCTTCCATGTGATGCTGGGCAGGGGACGCCAGCTGTTTACTCTGCCTGGCTGGGGCTCCTGTTTCCCTGCCTTCTGTGGCACTCGCCTCAGCCCTTATCTCCAGACTCTTTTTGATGGTGTTTGGAAACAGTCTTGAAAGGCCTCACCGGCACTCCCCGACCCCCAGCTCTCCCCACCGCAGTTCAGCCAGCAAAATTCTGAGCCCTCTTAGCTGCGGACATGCTCAGCCTGAGAAATGGCTTCCCCCCAGCCCAGGGACCCTGCCTCACATCTGGCTGTGCCGTGGGACCATGCTCCCCACACTGGCATTACTTCCAGCCTGTCCCTTGAAGGAGAGGGGCCATTTGGCCAGCAAGCACTGCAGCTGCCCTAACCCCCATGCCAGGAGCCCCAGCTGGCTCTGCCTGCCAACCTTCATCCGGCAGTATGCGGTCGAGATGGGGGTAATCTTGTGCTGGCGGTGGTTGCCGATGGTGCCACACAGCCCGCAGATCACCTCTTGGTCGACTTCACAGAAGAGGCTGAGGGGGTTGTGGTGCATTGGGCAGGAATGTGGCATGGGCTCTGCCTCGCCCCAGCTCTGCAGTGCCTCGATGACACGGGCCAGCGTGACGTTGGGCGGCGAGGCGCTGCAGTCCACGGTTTGGCGGCACACGGGGCACAGGAACTGCCCACCCGGCTCTCCAGAGAGTGACACCACGCAGGACTTGCAGTACGAATGCCCACACTGCAGCATCAGGGGCTCCTTGAAGACCTCCAAGCAGATGGGACAGAGGAGCTGGTCCTCCAGCTCATTGATGCTCATCCTCCGAGCCATCCTGCCACCTTCCCGCACAGTCCTGGCCAGGAAACCACGGGTGTGAGACCAGTCCTGTTCCAAGAGCAAGGTAAGCAGAGATGAATGAGGATGGAGCTCAGCACGCAGGGAAGGCAAAACAGAGACACCTCCACCCCCCAGCAGCAGCGCAGACAGTTCCAAACTCATCATTAGGCTCCAGGCAAAGTCTTGTTAAATCAATGCTTGTTTTAACTCGTGATGGGTTTGGGCTCTGGAGATGTGATCTGCCTAAGGCGTTAGAAGTGCCCACCAAGCTGTTCCCACCTGGGGCCACGTGAGACTGCAGCCAGGGCAGACCTGCCCATGTGCCAGGGCTGAAGACAAAGCCAAGGGGGATTTTCTGCTGAAAATTTCCAGTACTGACCCTGGTCTGTATGAATTCCTACAGACCTCTTCAGGTTCATTGTCTCAGTTATGGACACCCTCGGATTCGCATCAGCTCAAGCGATGCATCTAAGCAAAAGCAGAGGGAAATCAAAAAGAGCACGTTTCTCTAGGAGACAGGGACACCAGGCAGTAACCACCCGTGAGGCTGGATTCAACCATCGTGAGGGTTGGGAAGCTGAGGCACAGTGTGCAAGGCTGCAACTGCAGCTCTCCCCCTTGATAAACTCTGCGGTCTCTGGTCACCACCATGCTCCAGGCTCTAGCAACCCTGAAAGACAAGAGCCCAAATCCCTGCCAGCCTATGGAACTACAAGGTTTGAGCAGCACTGCCTCCCCTAACTGCCAAGGTCTTGGGCAAGTGAAAGACATGATCTGAAGTTCAAGGAAATAAATCTGAGGTCAAAGACTCAGTAATTTCTCCAGGGAAAGGAGAGGCTGTGACCTGAGCTGGACTTTTTATCATCCGTTGCTATGGGAGCTTGGGGAATCAAGGAAAGGTTGAACATCTGCAACCCATCAGACAGTGCAGGACCCCGTATGGAGGAACCAGCTTCAGCTGCTCCCTCTGCTCACACAGAAACACCTCCCAGGGATGCAAATCACAGAATGGCTCGGTTGGAAAAGACCTCTGAGATCATCATGTCCAACCGTTCCTGTCTACCCCCTAAACCATATCCTTAAGTACTTCGTCCACCCGAATATCAATCAATATTCAATCTACCCGAAATAACGGCCTCCCACTTGCCACAACACTCACGCACCCTGCACCGCTTCCTCCTGTCCTGGGCTTGGCCTCCACCGAGCCTGACAGACGGCACTCAGCTTCTCCCAATCAAGCTGAAGATTTTGACTCCGTCGGAGGTGTGGACACGGCAGGCGGCCAGACCAGCAGGACTTTGCAGGGACAGAGCCAAGCAGCTTCCTTCCTGCAGCCTCAGCCGCATGAGGGATGGCCCTGCTCACCGAGGAGCCTCGTCTCCCTCTCCTGCTCCGAGGGCGGTGCCACAGCCCCGCCGAGGGCTGCCTGCCCCCCAGGCAGCGCGCAGGGACGGCCGCACACATCACATGACTGCTCGATAAGAGCTGGCGGTGTTTGCCTCCACGAGTGCCACCGGAGTTTCACTCATCCACGCTGCTTGGGTCAGCGGAGACGTTATCATCAAAACACTTTCATGTTGACTGAAGCTCTTTTTTGACTGAAACAGTAGGGTTTTTGTTTGGTGAAAACCTTCTGTTCTTTGGGAAAGACGCGAAGGAAACCCCAAGTGTCGCTCCTCCAGTGCGGGGCAAGGCACGCGAGTGTTTTTGTCTGATTGTGCAAAAAAATGGTTTCTCACGTAATTACCCTTGGTTCACAGATGTGTCTGACTCATGGCCACCCCAGCAGCCTCCAGGGAAAGCTCGGGGATGAGGCAGGCTTCAGCAGCTTCCAGGTCCAGCCTTGGGGCAGCCCCCTGGAGGCTGTGGGGTGGGGGCAGCGGAGACACAGGATAGGCCTGGGTCTCCCATCTCAGCCCCACGCTGAAGACACTGGGTATTTGGGCCACGGTAAAATGGGAGGGTGCTGCACCCCTTCCCCTGGGGGTGCGGACAGGCCGCGGGGCCGGCCCTCCCTCGAAGGGGCCTTTCCTGCAGCCACGGGAGCACCCAAAAGCCAAGGGGAGTGGGCCCAGGGCCCGGACCTGTGGGTGCACTGCTGGGGTTCCTGCCGTCAGCCTGAAGAAAGAATGCCCCGTC